ATCATTTAACATCAGTCGGTCTTCAATCATCCAGTTCCTCAAGTCATGTATGCAGTCGCGCATAGCATTTAGCGCGGCCTCGTCCTCCCCTTGTACAGCAGGACCAAATGCCAAATACAGCTGTGTATCATCTGCGTAGCAGTGTACACTTGGGAGGTGCTTGCTGAAGATATCAAACAGCTTACTGGTGTAAATCGTAAACAGAAGAGACCCGAGACAACTTCCTTGAGGAACTCCTTGTCTGAGTGGAAAAGCAGACGATAGACCATCATTTATAGTGACACGTTGTGTACTATCCACAAGGTACGACGCAAATCATTTTAATGCCTTGCCATCCACACCAAAAATGTGTTTAATTAAAGCGGACCCTTGCCTCTTCATATAATAAGGACGTGGGTGTATGTACTAAAGCACTGAAGAGAGAACTTCTCTTCACAGAAAATCTTTGAACTACCGTGTTGGAAAAAGTATTCATCGAGAAATTTCAGGAACACTTGGGGAGTTTGGGGAGCATCCAAGTCACTAAAGTTTCCCTCAGCTGCGCCTCGAGAAACTCTCACGCATCTTTGGTGCTCTCTAAACTTGCCGCGTACTTCACATCTCGATGACACTAGAGCCAATTTACCCGCTCGATAGGTGGGTCTTTGATTATTTATTGGTTTTGTTGACTCAAGTATGTAAAACAGAGAGTTTGAGTTTAGTCAAATGACTGCTAAGGGATTCTTACGACGATTCAGTTGAAACTCTTAACTCTTTCACCCTGAATATCTGAATATCAACTCTCCATACTGTTTCCCATGCTTTTCTTCTCATTTTAGCTCTAGGAATTCGGTGTGACATCAATCAACTTCTCACAGTTGATCATTTTCTTTCTCCTCGTCACCTTTCTGCTTGAACATGTTGGATAATTTAGAGGAATTCTTGTTTGTTCATTCTCAAGAGTGAAAGAGTTAAGCCAGAATTGAATTATAAGCTCTAGATTTCCGTCGCGTGAAATTTGATGAGTGCGAAGCCTGAATCGACGATCAGCATAGAAATCTCGAGCGAATTATAAAAGTGGTGGATCCAGATCTTGTGCTAAGAGGGTGGGGGTGGGGTTTTGTGTATGTGTGTGTGCGTGTGTGCGTGTGTGTGCGCGTTTGTGTGTGTGTGTGCGTGCATGCATGTGTGTGTGTGAGTGTGTACACCAACTGGCTTTTCTTCATTCTGCGATTTTCATTTTTACCCAAATAAGGTGGGGGAGGGGGTGGCCCCTCCCCTAGATCCGCCACTGAATAATGTAACCATTTTATCATAAATCTATCATTCGTTCAAAACTTCACAAAAAGACAGGTTTATGTTTTAATTTTCATTCTGTTTCCAGCCACACCCTGTTAGGCTTCTCACTTCACTCACTGTCTTCACGGAATAGATGGCGGGTAGCGTACCCAATCAGATTGCAGCATTTCTTAGAGAAAGCCGGTCGATTTACAGTTATCAAATGTTCGACAGTTACAAAGTTTTAGCTACTTATGACTTTTCGAGCAACTTTACCATTTTAGGGTCAATGCAACACTTGGTTTCCATGTATTATCTTTCCTCAGTACCCGATTCATTAACAATATTTACAGAAATTCTTATGCCGTAGGGAACTTAAATTTAAAGGCTACCATTAAAACTAGAGCAAAATAATTTATCAAAAATGATAATTATAACAAGTTCGATGTGTGGAGAATACAAATCTAACTTAAGATTTAAGTAATTTTAAACAACTCAATATCTGAAATTTAATATTCAGTCATGGAAATCAATCCGAAGACAAAACAGCCTTGACAAGCCCGTTGCGCGAGTCAAACTACAAACAACCAGGAAAGATATTCAGCAACACTACACAACAAAACCTTTTATAAGAGATTTATTATCCAAAACGCCAAATTGTTATTTCGGTGCGAGCGAATTTCGTGGATATTTCTGGAGTAAAAAATATCGCCTGATATTTGTACTTGTTTCGCGCGTTGTTTGTACTCTACAAAGCACAATTGGATGATAAATACTCTCAAGCATCAGTTCAGTTTTCCTTAAAATAAATAGCTCATACCCTTGACAAGTGATCATAGAAATTGTCTTCTTAAATCTCTTGATAGGTAGTAATACACTGACCTTGCTTTTTGAGAGGTTATTATTTTCTCTCGGCTGCTTGATGAAAACTTTAGAGATGAAAGCATCTCTAGCTATTAGCTCTCAGATCCTTAGAAATACTCCGTAGAGCTCAATTCCAGTTAGATATATTCCATATTTGTCAGAGAAATTTCTACCTGACTGGAAAATTCCAAAAAAACCAAAAGCTCCAACTTCCCCTCCAACCGACCATTTGCCTCATACAATAGGGACCTTAAGCACTCAGGACGGCAACGCCACGGAAGACGTCGATTAAAAAATGAATTTCTACTTTTAATTAGAATTTCGAAAATGGCTGCATGTGTTTGCCATCTCATACGGCGCCACAACTCAACCTCGACATAACGTATTAAAGTATCGTTAAATAAATATATAATGACTTTGTTGGATTACACGATTACTGGTAGAACCAGTAGTTCTCATTGTGATCCATGCAAGCATTTGAAACAAATGATTCAAGTTTAACATAACATTATTAAGAATCCCAACTGGCCGAAGGCAAACCAGTTGGCTATTTACAAGCATGGCCGAGGATTTGAACTCGGAGCTACCGTGAAACAAATCCAGGGAGTGGTCAGGGCGGGACTCAAACCCGATAGCGGCTGATTGCGAATTCGACACGCTGACCACTCGGCCACACTGCCCCCTGTCGTCGAGTAGCGAATACAAATTTAAATAATTTGCCGTCGCAGTTTCGGTTCGTAGACCACGCAGATTTTGGTGATTTCACGATGTTGTTTTGCAAAGTACGGCTAGGAAATGTACTAAGTTTTAAAACGCTCGTGATGAGCTATTGTTCTGCTAATTAGATCTTTTGTTTTTCCACGTCCTCGTTGCCGTCGCTGTGGTGGTTTACTTAAAGTCTGTAATATAATAGAAGTGACTCTCCATCTCTTTTTCCGTGTTTCAGAGCGCAGTATGATCACAGGTCGATGGCCTGAGCCCAGATCAATAGCTCACCATGAATATTCTCTTTCGCCTGTCCCACTGATAGCGCCTTTCTTACGGTTTAAGACGTTACTTGCTGTGCAAAGAACAACGAGAGGTATGTAAGCAATCTCTGAGTGCGGCAGAAGCCTTTCCCTTTGCGCAGTTCTTGCCACCATGATACTTGCCGGTAAATTTCCTTCCAGCTGGAGAGAAAACGCCTGTGTGGAAGCGGTAAATCAAGTCAGAAAACAATTCAAAAAACAGTGCACGAAACTCCCCCCCACCTCCCACCCTTCTGCCCGATCATATATTATCCAACAACTAGCTATCCATACGTTCATCACTTTATCAGTGTATCACTTTTTAGTATATACTAAAACAGTGAATAGCGTTGAAGGAGCGCTCTTATTGGCCAACCAAACTCCGAATATTTTTTGCTTTTCACTTTTGATTAACTCGCACCCGAAAATATTGTAATTGGTGCAGTAATCAAATATTTTAACTCATTTTTATCTCATTGCCGTAGTATATACAAGAACATGTCGGTGGCTAGCGGTGGATATTTAAAAACCCACCACTAGCCACCCTCCACTCCAGTGAATAGTGCCAAACCATCTATTTATATCCATTCCATCCAATGTCTATTATGACGGTATACTCATAGCTATGTTGCAAAAGAAAAAGACTCCAGCGTAATACCCACCGAACGAACTGAGAAAGTAACAATCAGAAACGTTAGTTAGACGTCGACACGAGTCTTCGACTGGTGCTCCACATACTTTCCCGTGTTCTCCCAAAAGTTCCAACGAGGTTTTACGTCGGAAAATCGATGGCCAGTACGGAATATTTTTTCTAAAGTCGAACTACTGATCCATCTAATTACAGTTAAACTACATTTGCTTGATTAACTGATGAGCAATCAATGACTACCACTTGACTTAGCCATCATTGTTTCATGGTGCGAGGGTTAACACAAGGCAAGGCATTATCATCGAATAAAAGATTAGTGTCCAATACTTACAACTTCCAGAATTCTTGTGTTTATCTAGCTCTTCTTTTAGCCTCTTGATCTCTTGCTTACCGTCGTCCACTTGTTTGTTTAGTTCTTCTATTTGCTTGGACATCTCACCCAGTGATTCTTTATTTTTCTCCACATCCATCTCCAGCTGTTCAACTTCCCTTTGTGCGCTCCCACTCTGTACCCGAGCGCAGTTCAGTAACTCTGGCACAGAGACTTAGAGTTGCAGATATTAACACATCGTTAGTTAACAGGTCTTAAAGGCTCATCATTAGATCACCAAGCAAATAGTCTTATGCTGAAAACATTGCACTGGATTCCAGTAAGATTTTCTGACGCATAATTGCTCAAATGCTTGCATATTTATAGAGATAAAATAGTTCAAATTTTTGAGAGTCATTTATTTTTAGGGGACCAGGCACGAGTTGAATTTCTGATAAATTTGAGGCCCTACGCCCCCACTCCTGGCAATGTGTTAACCTCGCAAAAACTACTGGAGGCACTGACACGCCGGTGGAACTCACCAGCCATTGGTTTGGGCCAGCAAAAATTTTTTCTTTATCTTTGTAATTTATGTTATTTATTTATTTATAATTATGTAATAATTAATTTAATTGTATGTAATATGTAATGTACAATCAAATCTGTCCGTTGCGCGAGCTACATTGAAATTAAACTTCCTTGACGTGGCCATGAAGTTTTCGTTTGAATTTCTTTTTATATTTAGGTGTTAGGTTTTCTTATTGAAAGGAGATAGACCTGATATTGAGAGAATTTCCTTGACAAGAGGAGATTACAAGATTACATACCAACAAGTTTTTGGGCGACATCTTTCCTTTCTATCTCCTCAAGAGCATTTTTAAGACTTCCCACTGTTGCTTCATTTCCGTTCATTTGTACCCACTTTTCAAGCACTTTCCACACCCTTCCTTGGCAGTCAGAGGGATGATCAGTCTCAATCATTCGCAGGTGTTTTAGTGAGAGCCCTAAGCATGTACCCAGTTTTCTCCATTCACAAATTATCTCTTCACATAATAACTGAAAGTGTGTTGCATTGACAGGATCCTGTAGCTGTAGATCACTATTGGTGGCTGCAAAATAAATATAAATCTGTAAGAAACTAAAAACTTAATTACTCCAAACTTTGGACTTGAAGAAGAGCAGATGGCACCCAAAGGTTCGCCAGGAGCTGCAAAAAAATATTAGTCTGATTGCAATATCTATTTACAACAGTTAACTTCCAGGAGGGCATAATCAGCAAACTCGTCCCCAGAGTCTCTCGTCTTCCCGCACTCTTGGGGGTCTCTAGGGGTCTCTCATCTTCTCTCGCTCCAGGGGGCGGGAAGATGAGAGACCCCGGGAACGAGCTTGCATAATCAGTTCAACTTCATGCGTTTAAGTTATCAAGTATAAACTTTAAGAACCTTCATTGCTTGCTGAATCCCCCATCTCTCCAAGAAGGAAGAGGCTATTTTCAGGTTCTGACTTGACTCAATCGGCTAGAGAAGACAAAAAACTCCAGTAAGGATTCTGGTTGACCAGCAATTTGACGTTCCTTTTTATTCCCATCAGGGGAACCCGACAGTATGGTAGTGCTAGTTGACGGTCGAGAAAACAAAAGTGCCTGATACGTTTAAGGCATGACTAGTCTGTTCCTAGTCAGGCGTTCATTTCTTTTTGAGGGGAACTCGATAGTGTAGCAGCGCAAGAATCGGCAGTCGGACCGAAATAACACGCCGCCAGAAATGAAAACCTCAGGGATCGCAAGATAGACCCCAATGAATTCGTCTTAAAAAATGCACAACTTATCGATAATAAGAAGACGTTTTCAAACAAGCAAATTGCTCTAATTTGCCAAATCACGCAATCTAACTGAACAAATCAGTTCAAGGAATTTTAGCGAATTTCACAGCAGACAGAAAGCTAAATTGTACCATGTCCCACTTAAGTAACCTAGCTTAAAAAATTATACCAAATAATTAAACGATTCCGGCAAATTTGCAGCAGCATGAAAAACTCAGGAATCAGATCACCAACTGCTGAATCTGCAACTCACCCAGCCAGTTTAGCCTGTCACTGTAAATTGGATTTACAAAGCTTATTTTTGGGATGGTAAAGGGAAGTCTACATTTCATTATTTAATTTTGTAACTGGTAGTTAACCTGAAATTGTCAGCATGACTTTTATTCTTTAATTTTCTAAATTATCCAATTAACGATTAATGGATAGTTTCAAACTGTAGAAATTAATTCTTTACTGTATAGTTTTTTAAAAATCAAACAGAGTAATAGCTTGACTGTGCAATGGCTAACTAGCTATATAATTGACAAGCAAAAGGGCTACGTATATATGCTTATCTAATTTTGGAAAGAATTGGATTAAAAAAATTCCCCTAACAGCCAAATTGGACTCGGCCTATGTCCTATGGCCATGTCGAGCGTTCATATGTCAAAAACAACAATTGTGAAAGAGAGACTGTACTGAATCTTTTAAAATCCCTTAGGAACTTGCTGATTGTAGAGTGCCATCTTCGATGACTTTAACTTATCAGAATACGTTTAAGAATTTTCAGTTAATAAATCTATATTATCATTAAACAATTTTATTTTTCTTCGAACGGAAAAACAAAATTGATTGAAAAACTGAATCTTGAAGAGATAGAATACAACAATGAGAATATACACGTTAATAATGATCTAGACTAACTAGATATTTGTAAGCTGTTATAAAGCTTTTGTCTCCTTTGTAATATTAATGCTGTACTATTAGCAAAACAAATGAAAAAAAAAATCAAGCGTCTCGTAGAAACCCTTTGCCACCCACTGTATAATTTGTAGCCTGTGTACAGCCACCCCATCCCCTCGAAAAAAATCGGGGAGGAAGCGTCTGTTATTTACCGTTGCTAATCGTGAATGTGAATAACTTTGCATCAATTAAAAAACTTGTTTCCGCTGACCAAAATTTTCGTGGTGCGTCTCAACTCATTCCGATTTTCAAAATGGCGGTCAATGTGACTACTTTACATTGAGCAATTGAGAGTGTTTGCGACGTTTTCAAAATTGCTTCACTCTATACCGAGCTAGAAAAATGTCTCCAAGCCCTTTTTGAAGGAAAAGACGTGTATGCAAGTCTTCCCACTGGATACGGGAAATCATTAATCATTAAACTTGTGGGGAATTAGTGAGGGGCCCACACTGTCACTGTTCTCTTCCAGAATTTATTTTCAAAAAGCAGACAGAACAATATTAGGCGAGGTCTCTGACCGACCAAAAAGGTACCCACACTGGTTTTTCTTATCTCATGAACACACCTTGATCAAAACGTGAGTTGATTGGCTTTAAAGTTCTTCCCAACAAAGATAAACAAACTGATTTATCGGAGCGGACAGATCGTGACACTCGATTTCCGGCAGATAATTTTGAATCATTACAATACTAATAATCCTGTTTCCGACAATCTTTTATGCAGCCCCAATCGTCGCCGATGAGCTGCTCTCGCGTCCACGTGGCAGTAGTAAAATAATTGTGATTTCACCGCTTCAAACGTGATGGTTGAACGAGGAGTAGGGGCGCTTTCCATTCAACAAAAATCACCGGTTCAAAATGTCGGTATTTTCGCTGGCCGAATGGAACGCGTCCGACCGTATCCAAGAGGGCACACTCAAAACGT